AGTAGAGTTTATAAGTTGTTTTGTGCATTATTAACTCATGATTGGTAAGTTTTTAATATGAATACTTTACAAACATATATTTAAATTAGGTTAGATTCCCCGGTTAAAACTAACATCGTATCCTGGAGGAAAATAGCTACTTACGATTTGACAGCGCTTACCGCTTACGATCGCCATTTTGCTTACAAGCGCTTGCTAGCGCTTTTTTCTGCCGAACGCACCCATTATTTAATAAGTCTGTATTTTGAACTTTTAAACTAAAAAACGAAAGTATTTAATGTTGTTTGATTATGTATAATATTAGTTACATAATAAGAATTGTTTTTATTAATAATGAGAGTGTGCGTAATCTGTAAACCTACAAAAGCAATTAAGTGTTCGATTAAGAACCAATGGATTACGATATGTCAAGCCCCCTAGAATACGTGGCACTGCCGAAGCTGGAATGCTTAGGAGGATAAACTTAGGAATGAGGATATCGGCAGTAGAACCAGAGTGACCGACATCGCTAAACGGATTAGTAAGCTGAAGTGGCAATTGACCGGCCATATTGCGAAGAAGAAAAGGTTCTCGAGTGGCAGCCTCGTACCGGCAGGTAAAGTGTCGGAAATTCCCCCACTAGATGGAGTGAAAACCTGGTAAGACATACAGGACGTTTTTGGATGCAGGAGGCTCAGGACCGTGCTTTGTCGCATTCTTTGGGGGAGGCTAATGTTCAGCAGTGGATTTGTGAAGGGCTATAATGATGAATAATGATACTGGCATTATATTAATATGATACATAAATAGAATGGACGTTACGAGTAGAGTCCATCTATCCATAGAGTCCATTCTATTTATTTAGGTATAGGTAGGGTATAGAATTTTATCGATATATTTTGTCACACTGTCTTATCCCTATTATTAGTTCCGTGGACGTGCACTTCTGCTGTCAGCGCCAAAATGGCGCAAATCAAATTGCCTCATCATGTCACGACTTATAGCCAGTCCAGCGTACTTATATATATAGAGGTCAGTGGATTTGCTTGACTATAATTACTCTACGGGGAATGCAAAATAAAGTTCTTAGATTAATTAAATGTATACGTAGATAAGTAAATTACTCTGAGGTGGTATACTCCTACGTTGGCAAGCCTGTATAAATCGTAAGCCGCCAAAAAATTTATTTCGTAACGATTCGTTTGACGACGTAATCTCTATGTATTTTTTTTTAAAAACGTTACTCCTACACTAAGACTCTTGTATCGTAGGGGCAGTTTACAAACATAAATTGCACAAGGACAAACCTCCAGATCCATCTATTTGTAGGCCATACAAATTTGTTCCGTGCGGGATTCGAACCCACGACCCCACGGAGTCGTAAAAGTAATATCTATATAAAAATCAATTGCTGTCCGTTAATCTTGCTAAAACTTAATAAACGGCCAAGAGCGAGACGGACACGCACATGAAGGGTTCCGTATATTAGCTAGGAATTGTTCATTGTTTAATTAGAATATGAATAGTATATTATGTATAAAAAAAAACATACTATTATTTTTTATTATTTTGTCGATGGGAGGAGTAGTCTTATAGCCAAAAGTATAAGTATATTAGAGTAAAGTATGCAGTAAAGAGCAGTATGATTAAAGTTTTAGTACAAAACGTCCCCTTCATGGACATCTTTCCTATATTACAGCCAGTTAAAGGTAAAAAGAACCACATGCAACTTACTATTTAGCGGCAGGTATAGGAAAAGGATAGTACCTACTAAGACGGATTCATAGACATAAATGAGGTCGTACCATCTAGTAAATCCTTATGCAATTTTATAACAAAATACCGTTTCAAATTTTAATATATCTTGCAAAATATAACAATAGTTCATCATTGCACGTACTTACTGTACGCGACTGGAACGTATATCGAGTCGTTAAGAGTAATGTGTTTTGGGCATTTGAGAATTTCAATACTCGAACAAAGTTGAACGTTTCTCGGAGTTTTGTAACGTTATTTTCATTCGTGGTTGGAAGTTAAAAGTCAATTTTTATATACAAATGTATTTTTATCCATTTATTTTTCTTGTGATCAAGATAAGGAGTTAATTTTTTATTTTACCTTCTTTTTCATTTCCATCGTCATCATCATTTCTTACTAAATTCCACTTAATAGTGTTCTGGAGGATTATGAGAAAGAATTAAACTAAACAATTTTTAATAGATTATTTCCCCTTAGTAAAAACTTTAAAAATAATTTATTAAGAAATGTGAATATATTTTTAAGTAAGTAAAAGTGTAATCTATCATATTATTTCAATTGTTTTTCAGGACTTGGTAATAAAATTAATTTAAGACAATAATTCAATAAAAGTGAATATAAAATTGTCTTGTATCTTGATATAAATACGCTACATATTAAGTGCTTATACGTCACTTAATTTAAAGTATTGCATTATTCTATTTTAAACTAACAATTAGAATTGTTAACGTATCTGACAACTATTGACTTATATATATATATAAATATATATATATATATATATATATATATATATATATATATATATATATATATATATATAATACCCGAGACTTACGCAACTTTAATACTGCTCGAATTAAAGAACCGATCGAGCGGAACCAGGGCTCCAAAGTCTTTGCCTGAGATCTGTCTGCCAGAAAGAGCCAACTGTCAAAGCTGAAGACTGATTGTGGCAGCATCGTTTCCGGGACACCTGAGATTCTGAGTGAGATTGAGAGGTTCTATGGGCAGCTGTACACATCATCGTTGGTGCCACACGCAAGTGTGAGTAACGATCAAACAGCAAGTCTTATCCGACACTATTCCGATGATATCCCGGACGTCAGTCTGAGCGAGATTAGTGGCTCTCCACCACCTTAAAAACGGCAAGGCCCCAGGCGAGGATGGAATTACAGCGGAGGTTCTGAAAGCGGGTGGAACACCGGTACTTGAAGTCCTTCAGAAGCTCTTCAATTCCGTCCTCCATGGTGGCACTACTCCGGAGGCGTGGAGCAGAAGCGCAGTGGTCTTGTTCTTTAAGAAAGGCGACAACGCTCTCTTGAAGAACTACAGACTGATATCCCTTCTGAGCCACGTCTACATGCTATTTTCGAGAGTCATTACGAATCGTCTCGCACGCAGACTCGACGACTTCCAGCCTCCCGAACAAGCCGGTTTCGGAAAAGGCTTCAGTGCCATAGACCACATACATACCCTGCGGCAGATTGTACAGAAGACCGAAGAGTATAATCTGCCACTTTGCCTGGCATATGTCGACTACGAGAAAGCCTTTGATTCCGTCGAAATTTGGGCGGTGCTACAGCCTCTTCAGCGGTGCCAAGTTGACTGTCGGTATATCGAAGTGCTGAAATGTTTGTACAGTATGGCTACGATGGCTATCCGAGTACAGAACCAGAGTTTGAAACCTATCCAACTGCAGAGAGGTGTAAGACAGGGTGATGTTATATCCCCGAAACTCTTCACCGCTGCGTTGGAAGATGTTTTCAAGCTACTGGACTGGAAAGGATACGGTATTAATATCAATGGTGAGTACATCACTCACCTTCGATTTGCCGACATATAGTCCTTATGGCAGAATCGCTGGAGGACCTTAGCACTATGCTCAATGACCTCAATGGTGTCTCCCAACGGATAGGTCTTAAGATGAACATGGACAAAACAAAGATCATGTTTAATGTCCATGTCACACCTATGCCGGTAGTTGTTGGGAGCACTATGCTCGAAGTTGTTGACGAGTACGTTTATCTGGGACAAATAGTCCGACTAGATAAGTCCAACTTCGACCGAGAGGTCAATCGACGGATTCAACTCGGCTGAGCAGCGTTCGGGAAATTACGACACATCTTCTCGTCAGGTATACCTCAATCTCTGAAAACTAAAGTGTATAACCAGTGCGTGTTGCCAGTGATGACTTACGGATCTGAGACGTGGTCCTTCACTGCTGGCCGTATGAGGACGCTCAAGGTCGCTCAGCGAGCTATGGAGTGGGCTATGCTCGGAGTTTCTCTGCGTGATAGACTCAGAAATGAGGATATCCGCAGTAAAACCAGAGTGACCGACATAGCCCAACGGATTAGTAAGCTGAAGTGGCGATGGGCCGGCCGACTGAAACCTAAGCCGCCGAATTACAAAGCTTAATGTAGTAACAGGTTTAAGTTAGAGTCTCAATAAAGAAGTCTCGTATAAAATATAAGAACTTTATAAAAACACGTAATAAGTTCCATCTTTACTGCATGGCAGATCTAGAGTAACTCAGGGTGGTAAACAAAAACACACTGTACATCTGATAATAGTTACCAGCTCTACACCTAATGTAATCATTACTATGTGGAAATAATTCTATGGTGGAATGTATGCCATCGTTTGTCACTGCCATGGGGTCGATATTTTTTCAGTCAAAACTATTTTCGAAGAAATTATTTAATCAACTATGACATTTTTCGTTGGTTGATTTGATTTGGCCGGGAAAGAGTAAGTAAATATATACTAAATCTACTACTGTAATATACACAAATTTTGCGCAATGCCTTCATTTTATATTTCTATATATTATGTGTTTTATTGCAGCAGTGGCGTTCGCCGTAAATTTTATAATGCGTGTTGTGTGAAGTGCTCAGTATTGGGACATAGTTGGGTATGGTAAATTTACTAGTTTTAAGAGTTGCTGTCAACTTACACAGTTTACTCACACACTTTATAGTAAAAGTAGAAATATTTTGACGTGGGAAAATTGAGCTGCTACTAGTCGCTCGTAAATATTTTAATATCTGAATCAGAGTGGCAAATCGATTTTCTTTTTAGAGTCGAGATATTTTAAAATATAGGAAGCTATAAATCTTCATCGTATTGACGAATTTTATTATATTAATAAAAATGTTGTATACTACCTAAATTGCAGAATGCATTTTCATGTGCATTTTACGTTTTTGTTAGCAGTGCTAGTGCTGTATGTAGCTAATAGTTGTTTAAGTGATCGACCCATGACTTTGACGTCTGCTAAGATGCGGGAAGCAACGATACCGAAGCCCAAAATTGCTTTTAGAAGGGTTATAGCGGCGGATGAGAAAGAAAATTATTTAACCAACACAGATTTATTTAATACCTCCGCTCGAAAAAGTTGTTAGTTTCTCTTAATCACAATATCTGAAGTATTTTTACAAATAATATATTAAAACCACTTTAGTATTTTAGGATTTTCTCTATTAACTGTTAAAGTTTAATGTTTGATTAGTTGGCTGGATTTTAATTATCTGTTGTAATAGATACGAGAAATATGCAGTATATAGTTTTACATAGTATTTGACGCTAATGTTTTAAAAATAAGCAATTTTTATTACCTTGTGCTGTAAGAGTTCGATTTTAGATTTATCTGATAAATATCTTTTCTCAGCATTCGACATATGGAGTTGGGATTATTGGTGTCAACTACAACCGAAAAAAGGGAACTGCTCAGAGAAAGTTATGCGGTATTTATTGTATTGCTTTTAAGATTTATTTTTCTTATAGAATATGGGTGACAAACGAGCACACAGTCCACCTGATGGTAAGTGGATGCTGTGGCCCATAGCCATCTACACTTATCTTCGATTAAGAATCAGAATGCAGATGCGTTCTCAACCTTGAAGACCAAGAAGAAATTGTTTATAAGCTTTTACCTGCGATTTCGTCGAAAACTGTGTGCGATATTACGGAAAATTGTTTGAAATAAAAATTTACGATCTGTTAATTTCCCATAAAACGTCATATCACATTAATTCTTAACACTCACAATTTTCTTGATAAATTGACTGTGGAGAAATTCCCGTGTTCTGCAACACTAGGGGAATTGCAAGTGTTACTCATGGTCGGCGGTCAACACTTACCACCAGCGCATGGCGCATGATCGTCTTGATAAAACTAAATTTTATTTTTGTGTAAAATTACAAATCAAAAAAGTTTTGTTCAAAACTTATGTTAAGTATATATTTTAATTTAGTTTATTTATGAGATAATCATCACAGAATATTTCTTTTATCAGTTTTATTTCAAAGCATGTAATATGATTGCTTAATTCTGAACATTTTCAAATGCAAAAAACGCGTCGAAACTTGTGGTATGAAGGAATATAAAATTCAATTTAGTTTTAGATCACGATGCTGTAAAGAGCGACCCAAATCGTTGACATCTGAGTTCTTTCTGATCGGTTTGATACACTTGTCTTTCTGTTCTATTCTTTATTTAATACAAAAATATTAATACGATATTAAAATTTTAGATACTACTTCGACATCCAGTTAGCTCAGTGCGTGAACTTCACCTATAGTGGATGTGATGGCAATAATAATAACTTTGACAGCGTGGTTAGCTGCGAAAAAAATTGTAATGGTAAGAACTATCGTATTACCAGTTGTGTTTTGGCAAGAAACGCGTAAGTTAGTTTATGGCAGTTTAGAGAAGTATGTACCCCAGTCTCTTATATTTTATTCGATGCATGACGTCTGTATGCGTTTATGTTAACGTTACAGCCCATCAAAAGTTATATATAAACCTCAAGTTATTTTGATCGGTGAGGCGTCTTATGAACTTGAGTTACTGTCGTCATCGACTGGGTAGACAGTTTACTCCCATTCTATCTAAATAGCTGTTAAATATTTCATTTTTTTCATCTACATCTGTAGCACCTGTGCTTCTAAACATATTTATCAGCAGAACTTATAAAACAACGAGTAATTTTGAAAAATAGTTTACCACCGGCGATTTTTCCGGACCGATACGACCTGGGGACCTTCAAGAAAAGATCTTACTCCTTTCTAAAGGGCCGGCAACGCACCCGCAATTCTCCTGGTGTTGCGGTTGATCATGGGCGGCGGTAGTCACTTAACATCAGGTGAGCCACATGCTCGTTTGCCCCTTCTTCTATTATAAAAAAAAAACTCTTACGGAAAAAATATTGGTACACATAATCATCTTATTTAAATTAAATAACAATTAATAGGAGCTATAACCTAACATTTTCATACAATTATAATTTAATTTGCTTAATAAATATAATAAATGAACTAAATTAAAATAACTTACGTTTTTTTTTTAAATAAAGCCGATGTATCTATATGTACTGTATATTAACTTACGATATATAAAACTCCAACATTGATACCTATATTTATAATTATCGATACACCAACAATACGATATTTTTAAAAATATTACAGTCCTAGTTTGTACTGATCAGTTGGAATGATCAGTTGAAATGACCGTGTGTGTGGAAATTTCTTTGGCTTAAATACGTTCGAATTGATATCAGTTCGACTGATGAATTTAACTGACCGTGTGTGGCCACCATAATAAACAAGTTTAAGATAAGCTTCCGTACAGACCGCGCGTCCGATTAGGGTGAGTACCCTAATCGTATTTGGGGGTAACGTTTCCGTCTCCGTCCAGCTCCGCGCACACTGGCAAGATAGCACTAAAAATATTACTTAAGTTGGTAATATTTTTCATACAGAATATTCAATAATTTTGTTATGTCTGTGGTTTTTTCGAATCGTTCTAAATTCATTTATTGTTGTGAATTATTAGGATGAAGTTAGGTTAGTTGGGTGAAGCTATTTTGATTGTAAATTACAAACCTTTGAGCGAGTATAACTTTGTAACTCTGTTTTAACGAAAATCTGGGAAACCATAGGCACAGACATTAGTTTATGGATGGTGTTTTATTGACTTTAATTGGTTTATATTAAATCTTGGATCAAACTTCGTTTGTATGGAGTTCGCTAGGGAGAAACTACCCTTAAAAGCTTAAATAAACAGCCAATTTCAAATTCACTTTATGGATTGGATTTAAACTTTATTTTTAAGTAGGTGATATTTATTTGCTTTTTATTCTTTACGAATTCCTTTCAGGTACTACTTATATGACGCTTAAAGACGAGCTGCCAAATTTCTGCACCGTACAGCCAGATGCTGGAGTGTGTTTGTCACTAGGGACAAAGTAAGTGAATAATATAAGGTGGCTCGTCAATATATGATTTTTTCTCGGTTATAAAAATTAAGTAGGTATTAAGGTTTCGGTACTTACAACAGCTCATTCTATGAACATGCTATGAACGTATCAGGCACGACAAAACACTTCAGTCTATGCCAACTAGAACGTCAACACTGAGTGAGATTGAGTGTCATTAACTACGTATCATATCTGTGTATAAATCGTTCAGAGACCGTATTACCTCTTTTCAATATATATACGAATATCGACTACCGTTCTATCGGTTGTAGCTTATTTTATAGAAAGCCGTGTTTATGTTAAAATTTTTTGTAGTTATACCATTTATTTTTTTACGTTATCCCCACTAGGTTTTACAAAACACTTTTATTATCTTCAACCACCAAACCAAAAAGAACCAAAGACTAAAATATAACGCGGAACGGTAAGTACGGCGACGCGGCGAGTGAGTTAATATAATAATAATAAGCTTTATTGATAATTATACAGTGAATATATGAAGTCTCTGATTGCTGAACTAGGAATTATACCTGTATCTCAGCAATCAGCGCCCTCTCCCAATTTTATGACCTAATAAATTAACAATAAAGGTTCAAAATAACAAGAATGTTTCAAAAGGTATAAAAATAATATACTACTTAATTTACGTACTAACTGTGTGTTGAGTGTGTTAGGGTTCAAGTGTGCGTGTGTGTTTGTGTATGTGTGGGTGTGTGTATGTGCGTGTGCGTGTGTGTGTCAGCAAGCGTATTTTTGCGTTTGTGTATGCATGTGTTTTATATGTACTTATAAATAAATGAAAATAACAGGATTCATCAAACGGATTACATTATAACATTAAACAAGTCCTCCGTTTCTTCATAATTTATGATAAAAGCCATTTTTCTACCTTCTTTTTAAATTTGTAAAGTGGAAGTGATAAAAGTCAAGAATTTTGTTTATTTTGTTATACAAATGTACACTAAGATAACCATGTTGGCGCCCGGCAAAGGACGTGCGGAAAGCGGTTGGAGTCAAAACATTAACTATTGTACGTTTTCTTTCTATTTTGTCTTTGTCGTAATATATAGTTGAATCATTGCATTCTCGATTTTCATAGACCTAAAATGAAAAATCGCATTAAGTAATTCGAAAACTGGTTTGTGCAACGAAAACAGTTTGAACCCAGGACGTAAAACGGTTTCATCGTCGCAGAACACAAAACGTCTGTTGTTTGATCGTCGTCGCAACGCCTACCCCTAGTCCGGTCGTAACAAGCTACGGTGTTGATTATTGAAGGTAGGCTCTAGTGGGCGTAGTTGCATATTAATTTAATATGGGCTTTTTATAAAACTAAAGGGACAAAGAAACTTACTGTGCACCTGATAACAAATGGCTACTGTAGTCAAGGGACATCTGCAGACAACTTCAAACAAAGAACGCATTAAAGCGTTGTCAATTAGAGATGGGCCGAATATAGATTTCACCGAATACGAATATTCGGCCGAAAGTTCGGTAAAACTTTTACAGAATCGAATATTCGGCCGAACATTATTCGGCAGGATCACCTCGGTACCTAACTAATTTATGTCGAAACTCGTCGTAAATGTCGCACTTGCGCGGGATTAGCGCCTGAACCATCCTCCTTTCCCCCGCCACTCCTGACATGTTATTGCATCATCTAATACTTCTTATGTTTTGTCTATTTTTGTGAGCAAAAAGTAATTCTTTGTGAAAATTGATAATTATACTATGATAAAAATAAGTGGCAGGAGATCTACTATTCGGACTTATTTAAGAGAAACTGACGACCAAAGTAAAGTGAAATGTACTAGTGAATGTTCGTTTGATTTCAACATTTTATCAAGCTTCCTATTTGCTATAATTGGAAATAAATCTACAGTGCCTCAAAAACATAACGCTATATAAGTAGATTTAACCCATAAATAAAATATACTTTCAACAGTAAAATTATGAAACACCTTCAATGCAGTGGACACTTTGACTACCACTTTAACGAATGTTCGGTGATTTAGCCGAATATTCGTCCCAATACGAATATTCGGTAAAGCTGCCGAATGTGTCGAATACCGAATATGAAGCGAATATTCGGCCCGTCTCTTTGTTGCTGTCATCTCTTAGGGCTAAACTGGAATGCTTCACAGACTGTAATTATAGTGGCCTTGGTTTGTCGTTCAATCATCCAACGAATTCTGTAATCTTCTACTCAATGTCTAGAGGGGTGGTTCGCTAGGGTTGATAGTTTGGCGTTTGGCGATGGCAGCGGTAAATCGACATCACATTAAGAGAGCGACCAACTTCTTTGCCAACTAGCTGTCTATAACAGATTGTTTTAATGTACATATGTAATAGTTTTCATTTATTATCTAGGTCTTTACAAAGGCTTTTTTATTTTTAAATTTAATTAAAGCCAAAATTTGGAGTTGTACGATCGTGTAGTTCCAGAAGGTTTGCCATTTTATTCACAACCTTTTTGAAATTCATGCAACATATGAGGTAATCTGTTTTTATTTTAATATATATTAATTCTATTTGCCACAGGTACTACTACGACATTAACAATCGTGAATGCAAAGATTTTCTATATGGGGGTTGTGGTGGTAATCGCAATAAATTTGACACTAAACAGTCCTGTTTGGGAGAATGCGGTGGATCCTAAAAAATTGCGTATTAATATATTTTTATTATTATTGATGTTTGTAACATTAAATTGTAACGATAAATGTAATAATATAATTAAACATAATGAAAAGCTTTTTATTAATTTAATCTAACCTAATAAAATATTTTAATTAATAACCGACCATAAGGTTGCTGTTATATTTCAAGAAATGTTTTGTTATTACGATCTTTTGTTTTCAGTTATGATGTGCATGTAAGAACTGTAATAACTCCGTCAACTTATATTGAATTAAAAGTAAAATTAATTTTAGTTTTGTAAGTTAACAATAAAAAAATCAAGAAACCAATTTACTCGTACTTTTAAAACGAATCACATGTTCTTTGTACTTCATACAACAGATCGCAAAGCAAAACGGAACATACAGCGGTGCAGTCATTATTTTCAGGTGATGTGAGGTAGAAGGTTTTTACAGCTTTATCGAACTTAGCTTCAAGTGCATTCATTGCTGTGATTCGGTCCGAATGACTATTAGCCTCCAGAGTGAATTTTTTTAAAGATTAATTACCATAGGGTAACCATACATCTATAACAGGATACAGAAATTTTTGCGAAGTAAAGTTTTTTTTGTATAAGACACTGGTCAGTTGTAATTTATTTTAAGAATAATATTTACATTTCACATTTTTTACTAAATAAATTGAAAAATCATGCAACGATTTTTGACGATGTTGTCCTAAAGCCAGGGGAACCGCTTGATGGACTTTAAATGGAATTTACGTATAACGACTTTTTTAAGGCAACCGTGTAATGCTGGTGTAGCAAGTTTCAGCACGGTTAAGACTTTGAGAGATAGGGAAAGAAGCTTGCGGAAGGAAACGTGCTAGCAGAGATATATATACACATATTATATATATACAAAGTTAGTAACGAGAAAAGCATAGAAGATTTTTATTGCTAGTTTATTTCACTTTGACGAGGTAATATACTATACTATTAAATTCTTGCCAAAAGTGTTGACTGCTGTGAAAAACGAGCTATCGAATACGGGGCTCTGCAGGGTTAACTGCCTCACCATGGCAACGTGTCTCGCTCAGCACTCAAAAGGAGGTTAAAACATTCTTCTGGATCTTTCTGGACTGCACATCGTTCGGTAGTCACCGTGTGTTATTTTATTCCCTAAAATAAAATAAAAATGCCTAAAGGGATACCATACTCACTTGAGCCGAAAATTTAATTTTGTTTTATTTTTAATGTACTTTAAATATACTTTAAGTTACTTTTCATATTACCTTTCAGCCAAAATACATAACGTAATAAAGATAACTGTCATAATTAATGGTAAAGTTTCTGTGTTAATTAAAGCTCAAACTGCGGGCTACGGTTACAGTTTTAACTTTATTACTTTCCTAGTTTGTATATTTGTTTCAAAGTATATTTTTTATATCGAATGCTTAATTTTTAAGTTACGTGTGCAATATTGTAATTTTAATATCCAGTAGTATACTAACTACTTTTTATTGGAGAATTTAATGAAAGTGGAGCGGTTATTAAAAATCGTAGGAGCCCAGCGCTTACCGTAAATTTTAAGTACCCTAGCGATATGAGCTTAATCCCTGCCGGCACCAATGAAATTGTTAATTTGCAATTTTAAATGCTTATGTACCACTCAGTGGGGAAGGAAAACATATCAATCAATCGTTTTCACAGATAACAAGGTTGACAATATTATAATTTTATAGTACCTCCGTGAAATGCTTTAACAGCATACGAATTTATATATCCATACATATTAAAAGATATGTAAAACAAATCAAAATAAAAATTAAATTAAGTAGAGTAAAAATCAAATTATTAAATTACATATTTAAATTATTAGTAAATTATATAATTTAGGGGCCATTTCAACAACACTTTTTTCATAAGGGCAGTTTAACATACATTTCTCTGGATTTTTTGTTTTCGAGGTTCGAAGGTCAACAGAAGATGGTTGTACTCTTATATCAAAAATTTCCGGATTACACTTTACACGATACTACGTACTAGTATATAAATACAGGGTAATGTTAATATCTTAAGAGATCTCTTTATCCCACGTATAGGAGGAGCCCGTGATTTTTTTATAGAATGGGGATGACAAACGAGCGCACAGTCCACCTGATGGTAAGTGAATGCTGTGGCCCATAGACATCTACATAAATCTTCGCTTAAGAATTTAATTGCAGATGCGTTGTCACCCCTGACGGCTACGATGGAATCGTTTTCAGTAAAAAGGGTTTCCGGTTCTCTACACTCAGCGTACGCAAAACAGCAGCATTAGCTGCTATTTTACGTCGGTATTCTGTGAAAGCGTCGTCCTTCCAAGGTTATGCCGACCCATTCGTGCTACAACCATAATGTAGCAGCAGCGTGGCACTACCAAGTAAGCTATTCGAGTGTATGCGGAATATGCAAACACGCACTGGGGCTTTCAGTTGTATAATATAAAGTACTCGGTAAGTGGTGTTGCGTGGCGGGCTTATACCTATGCCCAGCAGTGAGACATATTTAGGCTGTATGTTTTATTTTTTTGAGGTTTTGTTTAACATTTACTATATTTTGTTGCTGTGCCGGATACCTTTATATGTGGTGTTTGATTCACTTACACCACAGAATTTTTTTTCATACAACGTATAAAGAAATAAATAGACGACTATATTCACTCCTTTCCCTGGACATCCACAAGTCGAGTGGGCCTGACGGAATCCCCCCAATTGTGCTGAGGACGTGTACTTCAGAGTTGGCACCGGTTTTAACGCGTCTTTTCCGGTACTCCTACTACCTAGGCGTAGTCCCGAAATCATGGAAAACGGCTTTCGTCCACCCGATCCCTAAAAAAGCCGCTCAGACCTGTCCAAATACCGGCCTATCGCCATCACCTCCTTGTTCTCCAAAACAATGGAGTTCATTGTAAACTGCAAGCTCATGAGGTACCTTGAGGATCACCAGCTGATTAGTGATTGCCAATACGGTTTTCGCCGTGGTCGATCAGCTGGTAATCTTCTGGTCTACCTAGCTCATAGATGGGCGCAGGCAGTAGAGTCCAAGGGGGAGGCATTGGCCGTTACTAGTAATTGGACATAGTGAAGGCCTTCGATCGGGTTTGGCACAAAGCGCTTTTTTCGAAGCTCCCCTTCCTATGGGCTTCCCGAGAAATTGTGCGATTGGATCACCAGCTTTCTTGCAGATCGGAACATCAAGGTCGTTGTAGACGGTGCAAGCTCCGATTACAAGCCTATTCATGCTGGTGTTCCACAAGGCTGCGTGCTATCGCCAACGCTGATTCTTCTGCATATCAATGATATGTTGTAAACCCGTAACATTCATTGCTATGCAGATGACAGCACTGGTGATGCTCTTTACACCGGCCGTGCCACTATTTCTCGGGAAAACGTCTCCGAGTACCGGGACAAACTTGTGTCTTTGCTGAACAGGGGGCGACTAATCTAGACGTAACCCCAGAAGACACAAGTTTGCGCATTAACCGCTAAAAAGTACCCCTTTGTCGTATCTTCTCAGTTTCAAGGCACTCCCCTTGTTGCCTCAGCCTGTATCGGAATCCTCGGCGTCGACATATCGAGTGACGTGCAGTTTCATGGTCACTTGGAAGAGAAGGCCAAGTTGGCCTCTAAAAAGCTTGGCGTGCTCAGCAGAGCGGGACAGTATTTCATGCCGGCACACCGCTTGCAACTTTACAAGGTGCAGATTCGGCCGCACATGGAATACTGTTCCCATCTCTGGGCTGGGGCTCCCCTTCCACTTGACCGTATCCAGCGCAGAGCGGCTCGAATCGTCGACGACCGAGTGCTTTCCAATCGGCACGATTCACTGGCGCTGCGTAGAGATGTTGTATCTCTTTGCATTTTCTTTCGCATATACCACGGAGAGTGCTCTGAGAATTGTTCGGATTAATCCCAGCCGCCAAATTTCGTGAACGCACTACGCGACAAACGTCCCGATACCATCCACACCATCTGGATGCTTGGCGGTCCACCACTGTACGTTTCAAAAGGAGTATTCTTCCGCGTACAACCTCTCTGTGGAATAGTTTACCACCGGCGATTTTTCCGGACCGATACGACCTGGGGACCTTCTAGAAAAGAGCTTACTCCTTTGTAAAGGGTCGGCAACGCACCTGCAATTCCCTTGGTGTTGCGGTTGATCATTGGCGGCGGTAGGTACTTAACATCAGGTGAGCCGCATGCTCGTTTGCCCCCTCTTCTATAAAAAAAAATCACCAATAATAATATTAAATAAGTATTACACAAAACATAAGCGCACTGAAATTTTATTTAGCCAAGCATAATTATAATATCTTGTAAAATTAACAAGACCATAACCTTATTAATTAACTTTGTACTATGAATATATAATACTGAAGTAACAGGTGTTTGTAAATTTTGTTGTTTTATTTGTGCGTATATTGGTTCCAAATCTATTATCGGTACTATATCACAGTTAAATTAATTTAGAAATAAAAACGACATGTGCTTCTTGGGACATAGCCAGTGCTTGACTAACATTCAACCTGTGTAATATAAACACTATGTTTTACCCTAAATGGTGAATCGCACTGTTTAGCAGGTTTTAGCGTAACAAAAGCTTATTCACTCTTGCTATTCGAGCTAGAGCACAAACAAAAACGGAAAAACAAACGCCGGCAAATTATTTCACACCTTCGTTTATAACTTCTGTTAGCTCTTCGAAAGATAAAGTAAAATAATGATTTCTTACATTTACGCGAACACTACACATTTAAGTAATACTAGTTTTTACGGTTTTTAACGCGTATATTAACTTTTTTTATATACCCGACGTTTCAAGCACTTTACAGCACCCTTCTCGGGGGGAGGGGGATTACATTTAGACGTTCATCTCAGCCCCCCCCCCCTCATGTCCGTGGGTGCTATAAAGTGCTCGAAACATCGAGTATATAAAAAAGTTCATCGTTAATCATATGATTTTAATAAAACACTTACATGAGGTAAACGTTATGTAAC